CACCTGCTGGGAGTTTAGGGGCCGAGCAGAGAAGACGGGCGGCCTTCGCGCGGGGCGGTCTGGGCGGGGGCGGGACTAGATGACCTCGGCGACCTCCTGCCGCGCGCGCGCCGCTGCCCTGGCGCGTCTCTGCCCCCTGCTGGGAAGAGCGGGAGCTGCAGCCGCCTGGCGGGCATGGCAGGAAACGCGACCAGCTTCGTTTTTGCAGCTGCCGCTGTTGCTGCTCCCTCTTCTGGCCTCGCCTGGCAGGTGCAGCCCGTTCGCTGGCGTTTGTGTGCACGGGAGCTGCTTTGGGGCTTGTTATCTATCAGATCCGTGTCCTCTTATTTTGTTACTTGTTTCTTGCAATTGATATATATGTCAATTGAGTTACGTTTTAATTTGGGGGGGTTGTGTTTTAATTTTCTTTCTTCCCTAGCGTTTTTCCCGCAGGTGCAGAGTCCGTTTGTACTTTAGTGAGGGAAGCCCCCTTTGCATGATGTGGGCTGGCTTTTCTTTGCTCCTATCCAGTTTTTTGTCGCCCTCGCCATCTTTGGTTCTTCCATTTTTGTCTCTTACTGTATTTTTTTTCTTGTTTTTAATGTTTTAGTTGTGTATCGCCCAGAGTCGCTGGGAGGCCTACAAATGAGACAAATAAACTGATTGTTCTTTGATTGAGCTATATTTGTTTTTATTTTTATCATTTAATTAATAAGCATCATTTAGCTGATTTACACAGCTGCCCTTTTGGCACACCATCCAGGGCAGCGAAGAAGTATTCATTCATTGCTTGTCTGCCAGTCTGTACCATAGAACAAGTTCAAGCAATGTTGGGTTCAAGTCTTGACTCTGCTGCACCTTCTTTCTCCCCTTCTTATGCTCCAGTGAATCCGGGGTGGGGGGGCAGTGTATCTCTGAGCTGCTTCCTAGTGTTATCTTATTGCTCTGGACTTTAAAAAGTGTTTCAGCCCTTTTGGCCTAGGGAAGGGCTCTTGCATATTTCCGTCAGTCATCTTCATTTCTCTGCACAGAAATTGCTGAGGAATTTATTGCTGGAGAATTCTGGGAGTTGAAGTCCACACCTCTTAAAGTTGCCAAGGTTGCACTGCTCTACAGCGGAGTTCTCAGCGTCACCTGACTTAATAGCTGGGTTTGCAGAGGAGACTGGACAAGGCTAAATGGGATTGTTAACTTGCAATTCAGTAGACTGTGGAAAAGGTTTTTTTTAATTAAAAAAAAAATAGTAGGAAGCTGACAAGCTGGAAACTAATTGCATATACAAGAATGCCTGTGCACCCCGGCGTTCCTTGAAAATAAAAATGACAGGTATCTGTAGCCAATTTTTTTTTTTCTTGAAAATTTATTTCCATGTCTAGGGGGAAAAAACCAGTAGCTGTCTGTATTCATATGTATTTCACCAGGTCACTTACAAATCTAGCCTACTTCATTCACAGTGTGCAAAATGTGGATTTTGAGGTTCCTTGGTTGGACTTTTGGGGCTGAGTGCGTTGTACAGACTTGACCCTTTGGGGAGTTTACTATTCAGTGTGTTGCAAGAGTTGACAAAAGAGGCAGGTGAGTAACCAAGCTCAGTGTGTTGTGTGAAAACATTTTAAATATCCTTAGGAGCTTCCAGTAAAATGTAGGGTGCCGGGTTTTTTTTTTTTTTTTTAATTGGCACTTGATGACTCAAAAGTAGCCACTGTGGCAATCATTTTGTGCTTGTGGCTACAAAAAGTTCTCAGTATCCCAGACAGCAATGAAACCCGCCCCCATGCCTCCCCTGGTCACATTCTGGAGCCCCACATTCAGTTCCTACAATCTCAGCCTGCCCCTTCTTCCAGGATGAGTTGTGGGGAGAACCAGGGGCAGGATACAAATTCAATAAACAGTTGAAAAGCAAGAATGAACTCAAGCCGTGCCATTATGGAAGATTTGTTTTAACATCATCTGAATTGTGGGAGTTCATTTATTTCTCAGAAAAAGCACATGCAATTCAGTTGCTGGCATTTACCCAATATACTTATTTTATTATTGAATTAGCTCATTTTCTGGGCTCAAACAATACACTGGAGTGTAAACTATCAAAACGGGAAGGATGTTCAAAATATACTAAGCCACCAAGAAAAAAAAAACCTAACCAAGGTCATCCCTGACTAAGTTTAGCCTGTTAGACAAATGCAGTGGCTAAGCCTTGACTTCATCTTGTGTGAGCAGAGCTGGTGAGTGCTTGAAAAGTGGCAACCCCATGGAGTCTGGGAAAGAGAAATATCTTTAATAATGCTGGGGGATTCTGGGAGCTGAGATTCACACATCTAGAGTTAGTTGCCCAAGCTGGGAAGCGTTGACTCAAACCCCGGCTATAATTTTGGTGCCGTCTGTTTACCATCAGTCCAAAAACCTACACAAGGAACTTGGTTGCTTCGACTTAAACAAAAAAAGCACCCATAGAACCACCAGAATTTCCTTTTTACTGAAAAACTCTAATCAGAGGACATAAATTCCAAAGATTTCAGAGGACGCTATTAGATTGCAAGCAAGTAGCCTGAAATTCTAGCTTTGACTCCCGTTTCCAAAAATGACCAAGCAGACGCCTTCATGTTTTGCTTTAATACAAAGTGGTGGCATCACAGCTCCAAAGGGTCCTGGAGGAAACGGATTATCTGGACCCTTTCCAGTCAGGTTTCAGGCCCGGCTATGGAATGGAAACGGCATTGGTCGCACTTATGATCTCTGGCGGGAGCGGGATGGTGGAAGTGCGACCATCCTTGCTCTCTCAGTGGCTTTCGACACCGTCGACCACGGTATCCTATTGGGACAGCTCAGGGAATTGGGGGCGGGCGGCATGGTCTTGTGCTGGTTCACCTCCTTTCTTCGGGGCCAATCCTAGTCAGTGGTGATAGGGGGCAAGAGGTCCAATCCTCG